GTACTATCAACCTGCAACACAGTTCGTGGTTACAATGCTTTGACATGGTGATTTTCACAATGCTGGATGACTTGCTTGAGATTGCTGGAGGGCACTCTCAGAAGGACTACAGAAACATGGAAGGGACACTTGTCATTGCCTTGAAGCTTTTGGGAAGAGTGTTTCTGCAGCTTCTAGAAGAACTAGCACGGACAACGACGTTCTGCAAGCTGTGGCTGGGAGTAATGAGCAGGATGGAGAAGTACGTGAAGGTGAAGATTAGAGGGAAGAAGAGCGAGAAGCTTCAGGAGGCAGTGGTGGATCTTCTCAAGAACGTTTTAGTCACGATGAAGACGAAAGGAGTGCTGGTCCAAAGGAGTGCTCTTGGTGGGGATAGCTTGTGGGAGCTTACTTGGCTGCATGTGAACAACATTGCTCCATCACTTCAGTCCGAGGTTTTCCCTGATCACGAACAGGAGCGCCAGTCCGGTGATACTGACACGGATTTTGTGTCGCAGGAAACTGGTTCATCTACTCCCTCGAGTGGAGCAGTGGGGTCCGGAATTGCTGGCTCTGGAGGAGGTTGAATTGTTAATAACATGATCATTTTACATGTAGACCAGAAAGGAATTGTGTGCCGACGGAGTTAAGAGTTGTATGCACTTCATCGACGATATTAGCAGAAGAATGGTTTCTGTGGTTTGATTGGAATTGCAGAGATGGAGGAAGCCCCTAGAAAGCAGGTTAGTCAATCTGCTTTGTGTGTTGTTCCTGCAGAAGGTTGTTCGTCGGCGAGTATATTATTTGTCAGCGTTCTTATTGTTGTTCCTTGGGGAAGTTCCAGCGAGGGAAGAATTTTGCTTTGATGTCCATGGAAATCTTGTACTAGCTTAGCATAAAGAGTGCAAGCTTTTTAACCGAAATGGTGGCTCTTTGTACTGTATGGACACTTCCATCGTCTTCGTCACTTGCTGCCATAATTCAGGTATTGGAATTTGTCCCAATTTCCAGCTCGACAAGGCTGCAAGAACCAGGCTTCGGTACCTTGTTAGATTCTCGTACAATTTCCATTTTAAAGTGATAACCGGGAACTAAAAGGATTCATTAACTTTTCCACCCAAAACTTAGCACCCTTGACATTAGGCTCTCAATAATTTTGAAGTTTGGACATGCCCACCGTATCTTGTGCTTTAATAAACTGTTAATATTGTTGGTCATGGAGATTCGAACACATAACCTTTCGGTTCTAGGTTCTAATACTATGTCATAAACCAGTTGGTCTCAATAACTCGAGTAGTTGGAAGAAGATTATGCTGGATCTTATACCACACTCTAACAACATTTACCTCGTTACATGGCACATTAATTAACGCAACGACCTCTAGGCTCTAAGCCCTTAGGTCTTAAAGAATTAAATTAACCCTTTAATTCACCATGAATTCTCTAGTAGACCTGGCAAATTACAACTCGACCCGTTGACCCGATCCTAACCCGCCCTAAAAATTGAAGTTTTTATAACCCGAAATCTGAATGACCTGAATCCAATTAACTCGTAATTTTTTGAGTTGGTTGGTTGGGTTAGCGGGTCGACCCATTAGACCCGTTTCATTTCATATGTAACTCCCAAAATTAGGAGTGGGCAACGTGAAATGTGTATCTGGGTAAACCCGTATCCGTCCCATTTTTTTTAGGGTTACGGGTACCCAAATACCCGTAAATTTTTTTACAGGATGAAATTTGTGATCAAGAATTACTACTTTTGGTACCCGCGAGTTATTCGTTAATAACCGTTTGGATATTACGAGTACTCGTTATACTCATTAATCCAAAATATACGTCGCATCCTTACAGAGGGAAGACAAATATATGACTAGCCCACCACTACCACTATAACTCTGTTGCTACTAATCCCATTTGTTGTTGACAATCAGGGAAAAAATTCAAAAGTACCACTGTTTAAAAAAAATTCCAAAAATACCACCCAATCCCAAAAAATTCCAAAAATACCACTCTTTTTCAAAAACCGCCACACCACCCTGCGGTTTACACGAAAACCGTTTGTCGGGGGCGCGGTTTTCTATGCAAACCGCGGGCCTAGGGCGCGGTTATAAAAAAAAAATTTGGACCAAACCGCTGGGTGGGGTGGCGGTTTGACCCAAAGCCGCCACCCCACCCAGCGGTTTGGTCCAATTTTTTTTTTTCCGATCAACTCCTAACTTCGGCCGAAACTTCAAACGAACGTAACTTTGCACTCGGGTATCCCATCGATGCGATTTTTTTTTTATTTCGCATAACTTTTCAAAATCTAAAACTTTTAGTAGGATGAAATTTCAAAACAGGAACTATTTGTGGATATACGGGACCTTGAGAATAACTTTACCTTTACTTTTCACAAATCCATGTACATTTTGATATTATGATTATATTAAAAGTTGTAGATCTTGAAAAGTTATGCGGAATCAAAAAACAATTCATAACATTCGGATTTTGGAGCACAAAGTTATGACCGCCCAAAGTTTGACGAAATGCGAGACCCGGCGGTATGCGGCTTGCAAGATCTCAAAAAGTTTGCGGCCTCCATTTTTTGAATCCGAATAACTTTTTGAGATCTTGCAAGCCGCAAACCGCCGGGTCCCGCCTTCGTCTCGAAAAAACGTCATTTGCCACCCCGACCGAGCCTTTTTTTTTTATTTCGTCAAACTTTGGGCGGCCATAACTTTGTGCTCCAAAATCCGAATGTCATGAATTTTTTTTTTGATTCCACATGACTTTTCAAGATATACAACTTTTAATATAATCATAATTTCAAAATGTACATGGATTTATGAAAAGTAAAGGTAAAGTTATTCCCAAGGTCCCGTATATCCACAAATAGTTCCTGTTTTGAAAATTTCATCCTTCTAAAAGTTGTAGATCTTGAAAAGTTATGCGAAATGAAAAAAAAATCGCATCGATCGGATACTCGAGTGCAAAGTTACGTTCGTTTGAAGTTTCAGCCGAAGTTAGGAGTTGATCGGAAAAAAAAAAATTTGGACCAAACCGCTGGGTGGGGTGGCGGTTTTGGGTCAAACCGCCACCCCACCCAGAGGTTTGGTCTAAATTTTTTTTTTAATAACCGCCCCCTAGGCCCGCGGTTTGCATAGAAAACCGCGCCCCCGACAAACGGTTGTAAACCGCAGGGTGGGGTGGCGGTTTTTGAAAAAGGATGGTATTTTTGGAATTTTTTGGGATTGGGTGATGTTTTTGGAATTTTTTTTTTAAACAGTGGTACTTTTGGATTTTTTCCGACAATCATCACCATTTTTTAGCTGTGGAGAATATATGCAACGAAGATTGCATGGATCATTGTGTTAAATTTTGTGACATCAACAAATTCGACTTTGATATATTACAATAGAAAAGAAGCAGAGCAGGTTTTAATATTTATCTCATAACCAGGATCAATTCGAGATCACAATGACATGAGAAGAGAAGCAGAGCAGATTCTAATATTCAAATTTTTTTTTTGGGATGGATCTTCTCCTACTCCAAATTGGACGGTATTTACGGGTAGTATGGGTACTTCTTTTTCGTCCCGTACAGGTAATGGGTACCCGTTAACTCGTACGGGTTTGGGACATGAGATGGAGATTGCTCTCCAAATGACCCGCAACATGGTTTCCAGGTTGGAGGTCACATGAAGTCATTTTTCTCTTTGAATTGTAAATTGTGCTTATTTTCTGGTTCCCCCTCGTCTAATCCTACTTTTGAAATTTTAAGTTGAACTTTTGAATATTGATGTTGTATGAGCGTGTATGAACTTTCATTATATGTTTGATCAAAGTACGAATTTTTATTTTGTTTTACTATTATATGTTACCATCCGCATCCGCATCCATATGTAAATGAGATTTGATATAATTTTTTTTTCATTCAGGGAGGCCGAGGCCAAGAAAAAACAAGTGGGGGGAAGGGGGGGGGGGGGGGGGGGGGGGGGGGGGGGGGGGTTATAGAGCAACAGGTGCCCTCACTTGGCGTTCGAAAGAAACACTCATAACATCATCTCTAAGGATCTGAACTACCTCCCTTGGCAGATCAGAGAGTTCATGCATACCGTAGGGATAGACGAGACTGTGCTTCGAGAGCCAGTCCGCGACTCTATTCCTTTCTCGGTACGTATGAACCACTCTGACCAGCCAATTCTGAGCCATCTTCCTCCTGATAGAGTCAAGTAAGGAGGCATACGGATGAACAGAATCTCGTCGGTTATTGATCAGCTGAATTGCCAACTGTGAGTCGGACTCAATCACAATATTGTCACAACCAAGATTCCAAGCCAGGTTTAGCCCATGGTGAAAACCCCATAACTCTGCTTGAACCGTTGTCGCCTTCCTATCTTTGCTTCAAAGCCTGCTATCCATCGCCCTTGATCATCCCGGATCACCCCACCAGCTCCAGTTGTCCCGGGATTTCCAGCTGAGGCTCCGCCTATGTTAAGCTTGCGCCAACCTGCACTAGGAGGGTGCTACGTGATCTGCTCTGTGATTCTATCCGCTCCCAAGTTGGGCCGACCTGGATTGATGGAAGGTGCCTCCCACGCCTTGTGCCAAAGGAGGAATTTTTGCTGGATCAAGTGAGCCAAAGTCGAGGCTGGGAAGGCTGTATAATTTTATTTATGAGCAATATAATTACTTTTCCATATATCCGAATTAAATACGACTAAAACGATACCCTCAATCTACTTATTTGACTTGACCAACGGACTAAACCGGTCCACAACTTTGCTATATTGGCTGCATAAGCTGGCTCGATGGCAACGTAGGCTCTGACGCTTGACGGCAAAGCTGCCCGAAGTAAAAGAACTGCCCGACTCCATCTCTGCTTCTTCGGCAAAGTCCAACCGTCTCTCTTTTGCTTTCGTCAGTCGCACTCAATTCTCCATTTCCTGAACCTCCACCACAACTACCCTCTCTAGGCAATCCGAGCAGAATCGTCTCTTTCCTTCGCCTTTACTCCGTTCCCAGTACCACCATACCATCACCATGAGCGATGTATTTGAAAGATACGAGCGCCAGTACTGCGAGCTCTCCGCCAATCTCTCTCGGAAGTGCAGTTCCGCTTCCGTTCTCCCCGAAGGAGGTACGTCGTAGCCCGGCAACTTGAAATTGATCGTTCTAATTGATCACCGTTTTCTGTTTCTGCTGCTGTTCCTTGATTTCTTCCGCTTTCCGATCTTGTTTTGACTTGAATTTGTTCGCAGAGGAGAGGAGGGAAAAATTATCGGAGATAACATCTGGAATCGAAGAGTGCGATGCCTTGGTACGGAGAAGTGTAAATAGAAAGTTTTGGCTTTCTGGTTATGGTGGATTTGGTTTCTGATCTTATGGGCTTGAACAGGTCCGGAAGATGGATCTTGAGGCGAGAAGTTTGCAGCCGAGTGCCAAGGCCATGCTTCTGGCTAAGCTGAGGGAGTACAAGTCCGATCTGACTAAGTTGAAGAGGGAATTCAAACGGGTTGCGTCCGGGAATTCTAATCAAGCTGCACACGAGGAGCTGCTGGAATCTGGATTGGCCCATCCTAATGCGGTAATTAGGGTTTCTTGGCGTATTAGTGAAATCTTAGATGAACTTGCATGCCGAATTTGGAAAGTAGCTAGAGTTGCATGAGTTTGCTAGAGATAATGGTTTTTGCTAAGGCTAGCATGAAATTTGGGTTTTAAATTGTTGCTTGTGATGTCATTCTATGGGAACCATTTTACTGCACAATTGGCTCGAGGATCGTGAGGTGTTTAGCCTTGGTTTTTTTATGTGGGATGCTATTTCACTCTAGAGATGAACTCCATCATTCTCTGTGTGTGTCTCATGTTGATAGCAAGGTTTTGCTCATGGGCTTGGTTTAATGGTGCTACAGGTGTCTGGAGATCAAAGAGAAAGATTGACTATGTCAATAGACAGACTAAATCAGTCAAGTGATAGAATTAAGGACAGTAGAAGAACCGTGCTGGAGACAGAAGAACTTGGTGTCACGATTCTTGAAGATTTGCACCAACAGCGCCAGACGCTGCTACATGCACATAACAAGGTATGAGCATGTTGCTGTCTTTTGTTCTATTGCTTGAATCAAGCACAGTGAGTAGTCCTTGTTGTAAGAATTAGAGAGCGAGAAATAAAAGCTTTAGGGTCTAGGTTTGATCCAATCTTTGCACTATACCAAGTAGTTAACACGAAGGATGTGGGGAAGAGAAGAATCGGATCATTAACATTCTAGTGTGGAAGAAACTAAATGTCTAAGGAAAACCCTATTTGGTCTCTTGGACACTGCTGCCCAGCGCTTCTCCAAGCATTATAGTTTCTTGATGTCTGTATTGTCAAGAAGCATTATAGTTTCTTGATGTCTGTATTGTAGTAGTTTGACGTCGGAACACAAACTCCGTTTTGATTCTACTGGTTGCTGCTACCTGTTGTCTTGGTGCCTCAAGTAGTCAAGTTGACATTAATCAAGCTCCGTTCTGAGTTGCCATAATGTGATTCCTGATGTCGTGCGCCATATGCTTCTTGCTATTGACGGAAGCCTCCAGTGATCTTGCTGACCTCGTTTCTTTTCGTGTCTGGCAGCTGCATGGGGTGGACGATGCCATTGACAAGAGCAAGAAGGTGATAACATCCATGTCTCGGAGAATATCCAGAAACAAGTGGATCGTTGGCTCGGTCATTGCCGCCCTTGTGTTCGCAATCATACTCATAATCTCCTTCAAGGTCTCTCACTAGCTTCCCATTGGCAGCCATTACTCCGTGTTTGTGCAAAAGTTGTACTATCTGTACTCGAGTATTGCATATTTCATGTCGTGTATAGAATCCCTCTGAGACTCTCTGATCTCTTTGCTCTGCATTTATCTGTGGAATCTAAAAGATTGTTTCCTATGATTCTGTGGTTTCTAACAATTCCTCACTTTCCTCGTCTGAAATCTGAATCTGATACGAAAATTATCATTATGCATTTTAATTTTAAAATCAGTAGGCCCAATAATACTGGCACCGTCTCCGAAATCCGAATGGTTGCGAGGATAAATTGGGCCGCAGGCGAAGAGGGTGCCCAATTTTGAAAAGGCCCGGAGTCCGGAGAGTTCAACCCGGCGGGGCCCACAGGAACCGGAAAATATCACATTTTGCGTAGATTCTGGCGAACTGGGTGAGGGAATGAATAAGATTCACTAAAAATGATTTTTTCTCCTTCCCTACACAGTTTCGTTTTTGTTTGCTTGCTTCTTCCGGAGAGCAGGCAGCCACCGTCGCCGTCAAGCAACTACCCTTCCCAGAGTTTCAGAGTCTTCCGTTTCCCACTTCTTTCCGTCCACGCCCAAAACTTCTCTCTCGTGATCGACGAACTCCACCTTGAAACTCCATTAACGAGGTGAAGCAGTGAATTTCTTTCTGAAGGAGTGCTGAACAGATCGAAGGTTCCAGAGGAACACAGCAAAATCTTCCGAATTCATGGATTCCCTCGCATCGATCTCTCCATCCATGGTCCTCCCTCCGAACAACCTCCTCTCCCTCCAGCGTCGTAGCGCCACTTTCCCTTGTTCTTCCTCCTCCCACAATCACCAACGGTACCTGAATCTCCTCCTCCCTCGCGTCGCTTCCTCCTTCGCCGATCCGAATTCGTTTCGGCGGCGAGGAAGGCGATTCTCCTTTAGAGCGAACGCCGGCCGCGGAGGAGGCGGAGAAGACAAGCGGGCGGGATCTGGAGGCGGTGAAGGTGATGATGACCAGGAAGAATTAGAGAGGGCGCTTCATTTGGACGGGACTATCCCGGGGACCTCCGACGAGTTCGTGAAGCAGGTCTCCTCTCGCGCCTATGACATGCGGAGGCATCTTCAGCAGACTTTCGACAGCAGCACCTACGACGGTAACTTTCGATTGCTTCTCCTTCACTTAATCCAGTTCCGTTTGCCGTAGCTTCGCGAATTTGCAAATTAGAATTGCGATGTATCTGCGTTACTGCGTTAGCGTTTTGCAATTGATGACCCTTCTGGTTGTTGTTATGTGTGGTTTCTGCAGTCCTGGAGTCTAACCCATGGAGAGACCCCTCGAAGCCAGTCTATGTACTAATCCACAGAGATAACCAGTTGTGCACAATGAAAACTCGAAGAAACGTCAGGCAAGCCTGCTGCTGCTGCTTTGATTTCTGTTTGGTGGCTTTTGCTTGCATGGGTATATACCGTCAATTATTCTGAAGTTATCTAATTTTGTGTCTCCTGAAACAGTGAAGTGGAGAGGGAGCTAGGGATGTTGTTTTCTAAAGGGAAGCGGAGGCCTGATATGGGGAACCAGGCGAAGAAGTCGAGACCTGGGACGAAGTTCCAGATGCATGTTGAGGATGTCAGGGAAGGAGTTCTTGTAAGTGACTGTTTGATCCATGTTAGATACATTCTTATTTATCTTCGCAGTCATTGAATGGCTATCAGGGTGCAGGGGATTTTTGCTAGTGTTGATTCCCTGTTACCATGAACTGCAATGTCTGCTTGTTTCCCCGGTGCAAGCTTTAATCCGTTCGGTCGCATATGGAGATCACTACATTTCCTGTTCACTGTGTTTTCTGGAAAGAGGAACCAAAGCCCGAACTCGATAATTGCTTCTTTGAGTTCTACTTCCCAATTCCATTGAACCCTACCCACCTTCTTGTTTGAACTCTTCGGGGTCACACATTTCACACCTTTAGCAGCATTATTTATTTCCCTTGTGAATTGGGCCAGGGTTCCTGATCTCTGGATGCTGCAAATAAATTTTATTGGCAGGTGTTTGAAGACGAGAATGAAGCTGCAAGGTACTGCGACTTGCTGCAAGGAGGAGGGAAAGGATGTGAAGGTGTAGCAGAAATCGAAGCCTCCTCCGTAAGTTTCGTTTCAGCTGTCATCGAACAACTTGTTTCCTTATCTATCCTTCCTCTAAATGAATGTTCATTCTAATGCTGAACCTCCCAACACTTTCTTGTCCCTCTAATCTCTTCTTACAGGTGTTTGATCTATGCCGTAAAATGAGGGGTCTTGCTGTTGTGTTCAGGAGGGGGACGACACCACCTATGCCCCAAAGCCTGGAGCTGAACCTGAAGGCTCGAAAGCGGTCCCTTGAAGACCAAGAAGAAGATGCAGCATGAAGCAACCCTCTGGAAACCTTTCTCTGCAAGTTGTAAGGGTGGTTGATAGAAGAACAATAGATTTAGCATATATACTTATACTGTTTTTTTTGACAATATATATACTTATACTGTACATATTGAGATCTGGGAAGCAATACTAGCTTAGCCATGCCCAGGTCTAACTCAATGGTCAATGGGTAGTAATGTGTTTGTGAATACGAATGGAAGATTAAAGGGGGCCAAGAAATTTGACTTGACCCTCCCAACAAGTTACTTTTACAGGTAAAATTCTGCTGTCTTATGCTTTGGTGTTTCATCTTCTTTGCCTCTCGTCCTCAATTCAAAGAGAATAGGAAGATTTTGTGGATCAATCCTCCATCCCTAAATTTCCTGGATATATGATTAGATCAGAGAATTACACTCAGGAATCAAACCAGGCATAAAAATCAAATAAACGACACGAGGTCGGTGGCAAAGAGTATTCCGAGTCACAAGATTGGCTACTCTATTGTTAATCAGACCTACAAATCGAACATAAAAACCACTATTCAGAACCAATAAAAACCACTATTCAGAACCAACATGCGAAGAATTTTCTCAATAATAATCCCAACACGGCTATCTCGTGCATTTTTGGAATTAATCTTATTAATGAGCACCTTAGCATCGCCTTCAAATCGAACTTGAGCAAGTCCTAGGTTCTGACACCACTGAATAGCCTCGCGGAGGACTACAGTCTCAACCACAAGAGAGTCAACCATATTTAAAAAATTAAAAAAAGAACCGTCTAGCTAAGATAACATAGCCTCCTTCATTTTTTAGGATCCGCTCTCCCGCTAAATTCAATACATACCACACCATCTTACATACAAATAACAGAGGACGAACCTTCCACAACCAAACCTGTTGCAAAGGTGTTGATTCAAGGCCAGCCTACTAGCTATGTCACAAATTACGCTAACATTTATTCAAGCAAGAGACTAAACTTAGCCAATGAAAAGTTAAAGGGGTTAATGACACAAATATTGTGTTTTTTTTTTTAATTTGCCACAAATATTGTGGATTAAAAAGAATTGACACAAATATTGTGTTTTGTAGTAAAGTTTAGGGCGGGACCACCAGAGACTAAGGCGGGGCCGCGGTTTTTAAATATTTTACCCAGTTCTGGGCGCTGGCGCCCAAGTCTCCAGCGCCCCCGCCTCACCTTTTTTTTTTTAAAATCGACGAACCCTAGGCCCCTCTTATCTCTTCGTCTTCTTCCCTCCACCCCCCCCCCCCCCAAGAACCAGAGCAGCGCCGCCTTCCTCACACACGCTGCCACCGTAGTCTCAGGCCCTGCCGCTGTGGACTCAAGCGCTGCCGCCCAGGACCAAGGCGCCGACGCCGCAGAGACAGGCGCCACCGCTGAAATAAGCGCCCCCGCCCGACAGAGATGTCCTCCGACGAAGAACCAGTCGCCGGCAGAGGCAGGGGGAGAGGCCGGCGAGATCGTGGTGGAGTCGGCGGCCGTTTACGCGGTGAGACTCTCGCCGGCGGCGGCCAGAATCTCGCCGACGGCTTGGATTTTTTTTAATGTTTAGTGTTTTTTTTAATTCATGTTTTGTTGCTTTGTTTTTGCAGTTCCTAGACTTATGGATCCTTATTCGATGAGATTACCGCCGACGACAATTGATCCAGGTCAGGTTGATCCGACACTTTTTTGGGGACATGGCCAACATCGTATCGACTATGTTTGGACAAACGAGGTAAGTATTTGATAATTATTCATGTAAAGTTAATTAGCTAATTAGATTATTTTAGTTGGTGAACTGAACTGTACTGAAATTAGAATAGGACTACGTATAAATTTTTTTGAAATTAGTATAATTTGATATTAGATTAGATAGATTAGAATTTATTAGGTGAAATTAGAATTATTACGAATGAAAATGAATTAATATAAGTTTTGTGCACTATAGGCTGGTGATCGATCTTATCATGTTCGAGGTACGACCAGTTTAGTGACGTACCATGAGCTTTATCGGCCATATCTCGAAGCGGCAGGCTTGTTGAGTGCCGTGCCCCTAGTCCCTATGAAACCCAATGCGAGTTTGATTACTACGCTCGTAAAGCGATGGCGACCCGAGACGTCGACCTACCATATACCGTTTGGTGAGATCACGATCACGTTAGAGGACGTTGTTACACTGTCCAGTCTGGCGATCGACGGTGATGCCGTCGTAGTTGATATACCGGATGAGGAGTGGTCGGCGATCTGTTTGAGACTGTTAGAACGGGTTCTGGCTGATCTTACAGGCGGTGTCGGTGTCGTTAGGATTGTTTGGCTGAGGGATGAATTCAGTCATCTGCCGGGAAATGCATCACAGGAGGTTATAGAGCAGTTTGCACGAGCTTATGCTCTATCTCTGATGGGAGGTGTACTTTTCCCGGATCGGTCTGGAGCTACGGTGCACCTACAGTACCTACTTCTGATTGAGGATTGGCAGAGAGCTGGACGGTTCGCCTGGGGAGCTGCTGTTTTATCCTACCTGTACCGTGAGATGGGTAAGTCGACTTTGCACATTACGCATTCCGGCACTTCTCTAGGCGGTGACCTTGGTGGATGGGTCCCCTACTGCAGTTCTGGGCGTGGGAGCGATTCCCACATCTGGCACCTCGACATTCAGAGACGAGGGCACAGATTTCCTAGGATGCATCCCCACGTGGTCTTCGATGGCTTTCGGCCAACAGTTGTCAGTATGGTGACCAGCTATTTCAGTACAAACTGTGGTTTGACGCGATGGACACCGTGGTGGTTAGTATATAACATTCCATTTTATAGAATAGTTTTCATTTGTTTTATTTTTTTAGATTTAGGGATAATAACGTTAATTTTTTTATGTAGTGGCTACCTTACCTTGAGAGAGCACTTCATCTCAGAGGTAGTGTGATACAGTCTGAGACATTTCGAGCAGTAGTGCCACTTATCTGCTTTTCATCGGTGATGTGGCATCATCCAGACCACGTGCTTCGGCAGTTTGGCATGAGGCGGCATGAGCCTCATCCGCCACATCCTGAAGCTGAGGTTAGGTTTTTTCTTCGTCAGGCTACTCGTGGGCCATCACGTGGGCAGCAGTTGGTACACGCCTCCAGAGAGTGGCGTGGCCACCACGCCATATTGAAAGTTGCGTTGTAGTGCGTGGTGTTTAATCGCCATCTGTGCAGCTTGTTTCGAGTGAAATATCTGCCCCTTGTAGAATCTCCTTCAAAACTATCAACAATAGGCATTGGAATTACGCCATATGAATCAGCAAGTGATAATTCTTCGTTCTCTTCATTACCCTGCAAGTAAAAATATGGAGGATAATTAGACTGCTCTCCTTCCCCCTCTTCCTCCTCCTCCTCCTCCTCATCTTCCTCCTCTCCGTCATCACCGTCATCATAGTCATGATCGGATGGCACGCTCCATGTATCATCTTCTTCCTCTCCACCCTGATACTCACTGAGCTCAACATGTATCTCATCACCCAAACAATAAGGATTTTGTGCCATAAAATTCCAAAGCACATTCAAGCTATCATCATCCACAATAGGTATCGCATAAAGAAATAAAACACCATTCTGCCATTCTGGAAGACGGTAAGTGAAACCTGTGATCACATCACTATCTTGTACTGCTTTGTCTCTACGCCGTATTCTCAGAATTAGATTCTCACAAAATTTGTGATATGTGACCCTGGATGGAGCCGTCAACTGAATACTACTACCACCAACGAATTTGACGCCCAAATTATCCTCTACTTTCTTCGATTTCCACCGAACGACTAGTTCAAATCTTCTAAAATCACTACAAAAAAACAAACTCACTAATTAAAACTAAACACAATCATAATAGCATTTGAATAATATAATTACAAAAATAAATGTGTCTCTTACCTATAGGGATGGCAACAAAACCCGAACCCACGGGTACCCACCCGACCCAACCCGGTCAACGCGGGTAAAACCCATGTTGACGGGTTTTGGGCCGGGTTCGGGTTTAAACCCGCTACACTATTCACCGGGTCGGGTTGGGTTTGGGTTTAGGTAAACCCGCCCCATGGGTACCCACCCACACATATGTATTACTTTTCCGGTATATTTAATATTCTAAATAATATATCTTTCTTAAATAACTAATATTCTTTATGTTTTGTGGAGACACGTATAATTTGTTCTTTCTAATTGTTTAGAATGAAGTTGATATTATGAAGTGGAGAGTGAAGAAACTTAGTTGACGAGGAAGAAGCTTTCAATTAATCTTATTGTTTATAGATGTTTATCTTTAATTTTAAACAATTTGTATTGATCATTTGCGGTTTGTTTGTATGCTCTAGATTGGTGTTTTTTTGTATGATTAATTTGTATGAGAAAATTGATGTTAAACTTTTATTTTGAAAGAAACTTGTTATTGTAAATTTTTTACCGCAAAAACCCACGGGTACCCATGAACCCGCGGATACCCAGCGGGTTGGGTTGGGTTTGAGTTTTTTAAACCCAACGGGTTTTACCCCGGGTTTTTTTGGCGGATAAACCCATGGGTTTGGGTTTGACAAAACCCGCCCCAACCCGACCCATTGCCATCCCTACTTACCTATTAGCCATTTTTGCAGCAGCAACTAGAGCTCTCTCCTCTATCTTGGACGAATTTTTTTTTTTTGTGGTGTGAATCTGAAACGAAATTGGTTGGGTTTTATAAGGTGGGTGGCTTCCAGCAATAAGCCAGCGGTGCCACTTTAGTCTTGGGCGCCACCGCCTGGGATGATTTCCCACCAACTCACCTAGGTCTCAGGCGGTGCCACCTGAGTCTTGGGCGCCACCACTGTCAAATTAATAAAACGATCCAAAAAGTCAGCAAAAGCGGCAGCGCCTGAGTCTCAGGTGGTCTCGCCGATTCTTTTCTCCAAAACACTATATCTGTGTCAATACTTTTTAATCCGCCATATTAGTGGTAAATTTAAAAAAAAAGCAATATTTGTGTCATTCTTCCAAGTTAAAGTACATGTTTACTATATTTATATTCATAGTTATAATTCTCCTTCAAAATTCAAACATTTGAAACAATTATAGGAATACAAACTTTATGGAGTTTTATTTCGATTCACTAAAGTGGATGAAGGACTCGATTTCTTCGCGCATAAATAATTTTAGTATGCTAGTATGAACTAATATTTGTATTATACGAACTAAGAGGTGATTTGGAGAAAATGATTTAGACCATGAATTCATAGAATTTATGGATTTAGTAGAAGTTCTGGGTTTTCTTTTTTACCTTGTGTAATATGAATTTTATTTTCTTAGATTTCAAATATTCAATCTAGAGATATCAAATATCTCATAAAGGGACCAAAGGTAAGATAGTCTAACGGTAAAGCTGCCGCGACAGTGACTGTTTAGAAGTTGCAGATCCTAGGTTCGAATTCAAGCGAGGCCCGTTTGGTGTTCCTGGAGGTACAAGGCTACTGGGGGCGAAGCCCCGTTGGCGTCGAAATTGATTGCAGGTGGCCCCCAGATTTAGTAGAAGACGCTATCACAAAGTGACACGTGGGGCTAAGGTTCCTCGGTAATAAAAAAAATCTAATAAAGGGAGAGATTTTATATTTTTATTTCTTTTTCATTTATTTTTATATATACCACCAAATATCATTAGGATTAATTTTTTAATATTTTTTAGCCACTCTTATTATTTTAGTTAATTATAAATATTTCTTTTAATAAATAATTAGAATTTATTATTTTTATTGAATGTTAACAATCATATTTATCAAATAATGAATTTTTTAAAACCATATGAAATAACGAATATTTTTTTAAAAATTCAATAATCTATAAACAAGAAATTTTGAAATGTTTAGAATCTAAAGATTTAAACTTATGAAGTAAATCAAGTGTATTCGTGTCACTATAAATAAAGGGGATTCATTCTAATGCAATTCGATTGTCTCCTATACTTTATCCTTCGTCGGAATTAAAAATTTAAAATCAAGGTCATTCAGAAGTGTGTTTCTTATAACTATTTTAACTAACTCAATGCCGATCTCCAGGAGGCAAGCACCAAAATCAAACCCAACATACCATACAGAAAATAAAAAAAGAGATTTCTAGCCACATTATGAGCTACACTATTGTTATTTCTGCCAACAAACCAAAACTCCACATCCGAACATTGAACCGCCAGCTTGCGGATATCCTTATAGATCGCCACACCACAACAATCCTAGGTTATCCCCCCGAACCTTTTCTATAACGACCTTGGCATCACCCGAAATTTTTACCCGATACAAACCCGATTCAACACACATCTGAACAACCTCCTTAATACTAGTAGTTTTGCAATAGCCAACTCCACTATCCCATCAACACCATCCATGGACTCTAACCACCGCTCCCCTGACATCTCTAAACATCATGCCCCCAGCCGAATGCGAGCTTGCGCAGGTTCTATCATCAAAGGAACACACTACCCGATACTAACCCCCCCCCCCCTCGCCGCGCTCACTAGCACACCTACACTCTTACCCCTCTGTCCTCGCCTCGTACCCCCCGTCGAACCTGCCCCTACGAGCCATCAAAATATCATACTCCCAAAACAAAAACATATTCAAGTACATCTACTATTCTCCAAAGTATTGGTGGAAGCATTTTTAAATTCCCTACCCAAGAGAGGTGGCCTTGACTTGCCATGTCGGTAGTATGCCGGTCGGTTGAACCGGATTTAACTAGTATTGATCATGAAACCGGCGTGAACACTATCAATACGATGGGCATGATTATTTATAAATTCTAAGCAAAATAACGTCGTTATAGTGAATTCAAGTAATAAAAATAAATTTAGCATTTATTTTATGAATTAATAAGTCAAAAATTGATTTTATTTGTTGAATTGAAAGTAAATAATCGTTAAATATGTTTTATATATGATTAAATTTATCGGACGTTAATGAGTTTCATATTTTTCATATTTTGTTAAATCAATATGAAACGGTATAAATCAATTATACCACTAGTCGTATTATTCCACTTGCCAGACCGATGTATAAACTGGTTTTACAACCTTATCGTGTTTGTTGAGAAAGTAAAACAAGAAAAGATAAAGGAAACAAACGGAATAACTGACCGCCACTTTTCGTCGGTTATTCGTTGTTTCCCACTCATCTTCATCCCAATTTTCCCACTCCATTTTCTCAGAAACCAAACAGAAAATCCTCCGCATAAACCTTTTACACCTGAACTCCCACACACTCCCAAAGCAAACCAAAGCTACACAGACGTCGAAAACAAAGCAGAAACGAGAGGCAAGCAGGCAGCGGAATTATCGAATATTCTCTCCACCCATTCCTCCCCTTTCCCCGTTCCGATCCGATCTAGTTTTCGTCTCTCTCTCCCCACCCCTCCGATGAGCTCCGGTTCTTCCTCAGCCGCCGGCGCTTCGCCGGCCGAATCGACCGACAAGCAGAAGGAGAAGGCCAGAGTGAGCCGGACGTCCATGATACTGTGGCACGCTCACCAAAACGACGTCGCCGCCGTCCGGAAGCTCCTGGAGGAAGATCCGTCTCTCGTCAAGGCTAGGGATTACGACAATCGGACTCCGCTTCACGTCGCCTCTCTCCATGGATGGATCGATGTCGCCAAGTGCTTGATTGAGTTCGGCGCCGATGTCAACGCCCAGGATCGCTGGAAGAACACGGTAATTCTCTTCTTCTTCTTCTCGTTCTTCTTTTTTTCTTCTTCTCCCCTCCTTTGATTCTGTTTCTGCGTGCGATTTCCAATTCAATTTTCTTGCTGTTTGTGGTGGCAGCCCTTAGCTGACGCAGAAGGAGCTAAAAAGCATAGCATGATTGAGCTTTTGAAGTCGTATGGTGGTTTATCCTATGTGAGTCCGCTCTCTGTAACTTCCAATTTTTCTATTGTGACTCGGTTCTGAACTTTCTATACTGAGTGCTGCTGTGACAATTTACAGTGAGAGCTACTGCTCTAATTTTATGCAAGTAATTGACGCCTGTAAACAGAAATCCGAAGTTCCGTTTGCATTTTCTTTTCTCATGTGTGTTGGTTGTTGGCAAATGTTATGTTAGTTTGCTTCTATGCAGTTGGTAAAGGCCACAATGCAAGTTCTAGTTATCGAGTCTCAAGTTTCGATTTACCCTTACTGCAGGGACAAAATGGTAGCCACTTTGAACCGAGACCTGTTCCACCACCGCTACCGAACAAGTGTGATTGGGAAATCGACCCATCTGAGCTGGACTTCTCCAACTCTTCTATGATTGGGAAGGTTTGTTTTTGTGCTGTTGTTTTGTGCTCTAGTCATAGTACCAACGTTTTTTTCTTGTTAGTTGCCTAGATATAGTCTGTGCCTGCATTTGCTAACACTCCTTGCAATGGCAGGGATCATTTGGTGAGATTTTGAAAGCATATTGGCGTGGCACACCGGTAGCTGTGAAACGTATTCTTCCATCTCTTTCAGACGATAGACTAGTGATGTAAGTTTGTAATTGATGATTGTTCTTTGTTTTTGTTTCTTGATTGGTCTATGTTATGGTCAGTTATAGTGTGAACTGTGATGGTTTTTATCTCTGAACTCGAGTAAGTTTGCTAAGAGCATTTACAGTCAGTCCTGCACCCTCTTTCTTGATTGCTTCTTTTAATTATCGGCAAACTGAATGATACAGATGATTTGCCAGAACCAGATTTAAGATTGAACTAACGCTCTTTGAATGTAAAGAATATAATGCCTGCTTCCAAATTACTTGGCAGAGTCAAGTAAATGGTATGATAATGTACCAAAATTGCTATATCTGGAATTTGGTTGCTTTTCTCCTATCTGCCAATTTCCTAATGCTTACTATCTTCACTTCTCCTACATAGTCAGGACTTCAGACATGAAGTTAATTTGCTGGTGAAGCTTCGTCACCCAAACATAGTCCAATTTCTTGGGGCTGTCACCGAGAAGAAGCCCCTCATGTTAATTACAGAGTACCTGAGAGGGGTATGTGGCTGTATATTCCTTTCTTCAATACTTTTGCGGCCTCTTTGAAAACCATCAACTGTTATCTGAAAAGTTAACTTCCTTGATCATTGTTGCCTGACCATATTTGTATTGATTCCTACTTTTATAGGGTGATCTTCATCAGTATCTCAAGGAAAAGGGTGCCCTTAGTCCTTCAACAGCAATTAACTTCGCATTGGACATTGCGAGGTATTTCACTGCCTCCTGCATCGTCTATAATTAATGGGTTAATATGTGTGTTTCCTTTGTTTCGACTTTGAGATGTATAACTATGTTTCCAAAACATTTCTGGCAATTTTTCTAGTTGAAATTTTGCTGGAACGCATTCTCCATCATTTCAGCTAAAACAGCACACTCTGTATTTAATGTTTTCGAAAATGAAAAGCCATTAAACTAATGCATCTTGAAAGCTATAATATCCAAATTTATAGGGTTCTTTCTACTCATGTGACTTCTGCCTTAGCAGATTCAGTCCTAATCTATGTTGTAAATGCTGCACGACAGAGGCATGGCCTATCTGCACAATGAGCCGAATGTCATTGTTCACAGAGACCTAAAACCAAGGTGCTTTAGTTTGTGTCCTAAATTCAGCAGGATTAGATATTCAGATTTTTCATTTATTTCTGGCAAAATATGCCTACTTACTAATTTTGACCGTGAATAAATTGCAGGAATGTTCTTTTGGTCAACTCCAGTGCAGACCACTTGAAAGTTGGAGATTTCGGATTAAGCAAGCTCATCAAGGTTCAGAACTCGCATGATGTATACAAAATGACTGGCGAGACAGGAAGCTGTGAGTGTCTTTTATTGCTTATTGTTGCTTATTGTTGTCAGGCCCTACGACAATTATATTTTCAACTAATTTATCGTGACCATAAAAAAACTATAGATCGGTACATGGCTCCAGAAGTTTTCAAGCACCGGAAATATGATAAGAAGGTTGATGTCTTCTCCTTTGCAATGATACTCTATGAGGTAAAACTCCAAGTCCTACAAAGATGCAAAAGTTGTGTGCCGGCAAACCCAGTTGTGTTGATTCATTGCATATGTTTGATTATTGACGACAGATGCTGGAAGGGGAGCCACCACTTGCAGGTTATGAGCCATACGAAGCAGCCAAGTACGTGGCCGAAGGGCACAGGCCATCGTTCCGTGCTAAAGGGTTTATCCCTGAGCTCCGAGAGTAAGTGAATCACCCATTGTCCATGGTACCTATGTTGAGGAGTTATTCCTTTTTGACGATTGATTGTGTCTTGCAGTTTGACAGACCAGTGCTGGGCAGCTGACATGAACAAAAGGCCTTCGTTCTTGGATATCCTCAAGAGGCTGGAGAAGATTAAGGAAGTTTTGCCATCAGATCATCACTGGCACATATTCAATTCATGACCAAAGCGAGAATTAGTCAAGCAAAACGTCTTATGCCCAACAACGTTGCTTGCTTCGTCGCTAGGATTTATTTTCCTGGTACACCATGATTGTTCCAACCCTGCAAATACTGGATGTCAATAGTGTGGAAAAGCATTTGTTCCCTGGGCTAGCCAATTTTTGGATCTGCCAGCAGCTCATACAGAAGAAGAGGGGGAAATCTCTTCTATTTGGATGAAACTCTGCAAAACGTATATTTTTCCTCTCAAAGTTATAGCTGTGCTTGAGTAGATCATCTTGAATAGCGATTTTTGCAGTTTTGTATGCGCCCTTTTTCCCTGTACTTTTGTGTTGCGAGAAATTCTTAGGTGCTCAAGGAGCACCACGTTGGATTGGTGACTTTCTGTACTGTATACTGTTCAAGTGTACAAAAAGACTCATTTTGAGTTCTCAATCCATTATGTAAAGATTCAGTGGTAGATTTGCCTCTTATCAATCTGCTGTTAGATTTTGTCAAAATGCTTCATCCGGGATTCTGGATGGATTCCGGCAAAAGAGCCCCTTCTATACTCAACAAGTACAGTATAGTCTTCGATGCACAATTCTTTATCTTTGTTCATACCAAGTGCAATGGCTAAGAATTCAGGAAAGGGAACGAAGAAAAGGTGTACTGCTGTGACATCTAAAAATTTGCCGATTCTACTAAGGATGAACTTTTGAAATTATTCCCGAGTACTACAACACTTGTGTAACATTATACAGTTTTAAGGAAAAGGGAACCTGAAGAAAGGAGGGGGGAAAATAGAGGATGTCTACCTTGGCCAGAAAGAAAGAAAGCAAAAAGAGTTAGAGAGAACTTAAATGATCTTCTTCTTCTCGAAAAATGTCTTGAGGTGCCAGAACTGGAAGCCGGCAACCGATAAAGACATCAGCAAGGAGAGAATGCCTAGCCACCCCATGGTCGAATTGGTCGATCTATTCAGTTCTTGCATCTCTTGTTCCCTGCAACAGCAACAATAACCCAAAACAACATCTTATTATCAAAAGCCCCTCCTTGTGCAACCTCTAGTTAAGGAGAGTAAGGGAGAAGGGTTGTTACCTCTGACGAAGATACAATATTTCGTCTTGTATGGCTATAGTAGTGTCATACAATTTCTTCACTTCCAGTTCCATTGCCTGAATAAAAGTAATTCGAAGATAAAAAATTGTAAAGCTAATACTCCATTTCGAAAAGGCAGGACCAATCTTTGAGCTCAATACACAACTGTAATTAACTCCATAACCTAGTTCAATGATTAGATAATTATGATAGTAGCAGAAGAACAAAGCATTTAACTGTAAGCACTTAAGTCATCGTCACATGCACATGATAAGTACAGCCACTGGACAATTATACAAGCAATTATTAGCGACATGAAGAAAGAATACTCTCATCCTATCACTATCACTATATGGGAATCCAGCAAATTCATTCTTAACTTCAAAATATTGCAACCTTATATTATTATCAGATGCTATTGGTGACAGTCAAGTCTTGTTGACCAACATTGATGGATATGTTATGTCACTCTAAAGCCAATATCTATCCCACGTAGTTCATAATCTCCCATAGGGAAAAGGACAGATTTTTTTCTATTCCACTTTGTAACCTAAGCTCAAAGCAAATGTCTACTCCATGTAGCAGATAACAAACACTTCAGAGCTTTCAGTGTCATCTGTTATCAATAAGCAAAAGGTTGAATTGGATTCTATCTTAGGCACGGGTGTGAGTTGCTCATACAAATGCGAGCCAAACAACTCAAAAATCTGAAATTCAAGATCGCGCAACGACTGTACTTAACCCAAAGACTAATGTCTCACATAGTTAGTTCTCTAATTCATATAACAGCGATGTAGCAAGGAGTATGGGGTAATCTGCTCAAAGCGTTTGATGAGCTCTATACAGTATACACCGGGACCATCAATATCGTCATGTCACTAGAATTCTGCCAAACTAAACTCAAAAGCACCAGCAATTCAGTTGTCCTCAAGCAAGGCTCAAGTGACAAGTGAGGCCAGGCTGCCTTCTGATAGGAGCAATACAGGAGAATTTTCTTTCACTCGTCAGTTGCAAGTGATCCTCAAAGATCCAACTATCTAAAACTCTCAATGCCAATTCACTCTATATCGATTGCAACCCTACCATTAAGATTGACGAAATCAGAACATAAGCTGCGGTTCAGAAACAAGCTCAAGATTTTAGATGCAAGTGAAGAACTTGAAAAACAATACCTCCACGGATCCTTTCTTTGCAATGCTACTCCAGTCCTTAGCAGCTACACCAGTCCTCCACTCGAAATCCACAGTCAAAGTGATGGGAGGATTGTGATCCGCCGCATAAAAGCACGCCATGTAATCCCCAGTCTCAGCGGCGGTGAACGCAAACTGCCCTGATTCCACATGGTCCGCCGTGTGATAACTGTTCCCGTAGCTCGAAGTCACCTAAACAGTGAGAAACACAGAACCCACAACTCCAAACCATCAAACTCGGAAAAAGAAAACGCCCCCATTACTGCTCTCTTTCTCTCTCTCCCAACTTTACCCTGACGGTGAGCTTGTGGGAATCAGGCAACGCCTGGCCTTCGTTAGGGTTAACGACGCTATACTTGCCCACGGTCATGGAATTGCTCTTGATGTCCTCGGCTATGCACTTGGTGTGAGAGGATTGAATGTCGAAGCGGAGAGACTCCGATGCGGATGCCAGAATCCCTAGAATTGTAAGGATCACGAGATATCCGGCGGGAGCATCCATGGCGTAGAAATTTCGGCCTTCCACTGCTGCGCCAATCTGTGTCCGACCTGACCCGAAAGAAATGATTCAATCTTGGTGGGAATTCTCCGGTTCCAGAGCAACAATGGCGAATCGGGGAGGTTTTGGAACTGGGGGGGCGTGGGGAAAGCAAATGAAGAAAACTCAAAAACTGATTTTTTTTAGATTGTGTTCAAAATTTCTATTTCTCTCTCTCTCTCTCTCTCTTTCTTTTTTTGGTTGGAAATGCCTTGGACAGATGGCGCTGTGCTATTGGGACAGACACGTAGGAGACTAAGTACAGTATCAATCCGCCATTATTTTTTAAGGGCATTGCTATTCGTCGCCCTAAATTTTTTTATTCGTCGCCCTAATTAAGTTAAATTTACTTTAATATCCTTAGTCATTTATTTGTTTTTTAAACACTTAAATCCCAAACAGAATTGAGCAAACGGCGGTGGGAAACCTAAACCCTCGGCCTCCCCACCCCAAACTAGACCCCAGCCGCCCACTTCGCTGCTGCTTGAGAAGAGAGAAAGAATCCGGTAATGCTTCAGTCGGAAGAAGAAATCAGGCCACTCCCCTCAAATTTGCCTATGCCGCCCACCTCCATTGTTATCATTAATTGGAAAAATGAAGAGTAATAACTAATAATACCAAAAAGAGAAATAATATATAAATTAATTAATAAAAATTACAATCGCAAATCGGCCTCCTCGCATCCCCGTCGCAAATCCATCTCCGCCGTTGCTTCTGCAATCATACTGGCCCGCCGCGGCTGCTTCAATAATCCTGCCGGCCCACCGCTTGCTTCTTCTATCTTGCAACAACGTGGCGGAGATGGGTGGAATTGAAATTGGATTGAGGGTAAATATGTCGACTTGTTACATTTTAGGGCGATAAAATTTGAATTCTAGGGCGACGAATAGCGATTCAGTTTTTTAATAGGTTAATTACATGATTGGTCACTGAGATTACAAAAAATGTTCATGTTTGGTCATTCAAAATATTTAAATCCATTGATGGTCCTTTAGTTTAGTAAAACCGTTCAAGTTTGGTCACTCTCCGTTAGTCGCCGTCCATCTCCGTCAATGGAGTCCGTTAAGTGATGACGTGGCAGACGAAATTGTCTAATCAGCCTTTTTTAACCAGAAAATGGTGAGACCCAACCCGCCATGTCACTAAGACCCAACAATTCCTCTGAACCAACCCAAACATCTAATCAAACCCGATCCGGCCTTTGGACTTGATACGAGATTTTGTGTTTACTCCTGCTACGACCACCGGAGAGAGCTGACTACACCATCGCAGCCGGCACGATTCCACAAAATCGGATAGAACTTTGAGCGCAGGGTAGAAAATGGGTCTGCTCGGAGCCCGACCAACAAATCGCCCGCCTTCCCTTTCTCTTCTCAGTCAATTTCCCAGTGCCTGTTCTCACCCTTTCGCACTCGCTATCTCATAATCTGAGTACCCGATTTTAATTATTGATTCCACTTGTTGCTAGGGTAGAGTATTACAGCTCCAACAATGATGGATCTAACATAAGATGCTATCGCCCTTATTGTCGGAGGTGTTTCTTCGGGGAACTACAACCAACCTTGCAAGTGATAGAGCTAAAGAAGGTCTTGGTGAAACAACAACGGAAGCAAAAAGGCGATCCAGTTGAGGCTTCTGGTGTCCGATGGTTGCGCATAATATATGGCCTGACCCGGCAGGACCAGATCTGGCTCAGGGAGGAAGAGGAACAGACTGGTGGTGGTGGATTGGAGGATGACAACGAAGGTGGAGCAACATGAAAATTGCAGTTGTTGTCTTCTTTGGAATCGACTTCGTTCTCATGTACTGCTCCCTCTACTATTCTCCATTCTCGACGAAGCTCCTGCATCGCCTGTGAATGTGATAATGGGATAAGGAGGGAGGGAAGGAGGCAGAAGGAGACGCACGAAGAAAGGGGAAAGTGGAGATCTGATCTGGTTTAGAAATTAGAGATTTCATTTGTGTGGGTTGGTTCAAAGTTCGGGTCAGGTCTGGTATGGTTAGAGTGTTGGGTTGGACCAAATGACCCGACGGGTCACAGTGACGTGGCGGGTCGGGTCTCATTATTTTCGGATTAAATAAGGCTGATTAGACGATTCCGTCTGCCACATCATCACTTAACGGACTTCATTGACGGAAATGGACGGCGACTAACGGAGAGTGACCTAACATGAACGGTTTTACTAAACTAAAGGACCATCAATAGATTTAAATATTTTGGGTGACCAAATATGAACGTTTTTTGTAATCTCAGTGACCAACCATGTAATTGATCCTTTTTTTAATAAATGATAAAATACACTTATATAGCCATAACTTTTACGTTTATTACAAATATAGTCATAACTATTTGAAAACACAAAATAGCTCGAAAAATATATAGTAGTGTGACAAATCTAGTCATTCCCGCTAAACACTTTAACAGTGATAAAGACTTCGTCAGTTAGATTAACGTTAGACTGACTAGGATGTCAAATCATTAGACACATCATCAACCAGTCATTATATCATTGGCAAGTTAATTTGAATTATAAAAAAATTAATTTTTGAAAAAAAAATTGGAGACGAATGGAGAGACTACGAGCCATTGCAAGAGAAAGCCCAGATCTCCGTCGCGAATTGGCTTTAGAATCGCATGAATCGGCTTCAGATTTGGAGATATGTGCTTTCACAGGCGCAAATAGTCTTCAGATTTGGAGGCGACGAACATGGCAAGAGTCGATCTGGGCCCCGAGGTATGTGCTTTGCCGGAAAATTGACGGTACGACGATGACGGTCGAGATCCGGCGAGTTGTGGGGCTCGTCTCCCGACTCCCCAACTCCTGCCTTGAGCCCTTGACCACCGGCGAAAAGAGAACTTACAACAGGTATGTTTGGAAACCCTAACTTAACTTTTCTCATTGATTCAATTGATCTTATATACAAGGATCGTGCATAACAAGACAAGGAACTCTAGTTGTAACTTAGCAGAGAAGAAGTACAGAAAAACAGAGTGAGAGGGAACACAGTCTGAGCAAAGGAAAGAGACGTTGTGTCTCCAGTACACAACGACGATGTTTCTTCCTTTAGTCTTGAATGCCTGTTACGACAACGTGTTGATCATCTCCGAAGTGATTCCTTGAGACGACATCGTTCCAGTTGAAGTGTTGCCTGATTTCCCTAAGACGACGTCGCTCCACCGAATTGCTTTGGTGGTCGTTGGAGAAGCGGATAAATTTTTTGAATTTGTCTCTGATACCCCCCGCAAGCTGGTGGGTAGAGATTATGCACACCGAGCTTGGAGAGGAGAGTGGAGAAGATGGCTGGTGGCAGAGCCTTGGTGAAGATGTCTGCTAATTGGTGCATAGAAGAGACATGGAGAAGCTTGATCGTGCCATTTTGCAGCTTCTCCCTGACCAGGTGACAGTCCAATTCTATATGTTTCGTCCTTTCGTGGAAAGTTGGGTTTTCGGCAATGTGAACATCTGATTGATTGTCGCAGTAAAGGATAGCTGGCTGAAGATAGAAAATCTGGAAGTCTTGGAGGAGGTAAAGGAGTGACTGAAGCTCACATGTAGTGTCTGCCATGGCCCTGTATTCAGCTTCACACGATGACCTAGAAATCGTTTTCTGCTTCTTGCTTCGCCAGGAGATTAGGGCATTGCCGAGATAGACACAATAGCCAGTGACTGAGCGGCGTGTTTCCATACAAGAGGCCCAGTCGAAGTCACTAAAAGACTTCAAGTGAAGCATGGAATTGGATGGATAGAAGAGGCCAGTTGATGGAGCGATTTAACGTACATTAGAATCCTTGTGACAGCTTGATAATGCGAATTGCTTGGATTGGACATGTATTGGGCCACCTGTTGAGTAGCAAAACTGATATCAGGGCGGGTTGTAGTCAAGTAGATAAGCTTGCCCACCAATCTTCTGTAGAATGAAGGATCTGGGTAGGGATCAGAATGAGTAGATGATAGATGTTGCTTGTAATCCATAGGTGTAGAAACAGGCTTGGATAGTAAGACATCAGCTTCTTCCAAGATCTCCAATGTATATTTCCTTTGTGATAAATGAATCCCGGATTGGTTTCTGGAAACTTCAATGCCTAGAAAAAATTTAAGTTGGCCCATATCCTTTATGCTGAATGCTTGGTGAAGAACTTGCTTTAACTGGTTGATTGCTGCCAAGTCATTTCCTCCAACCAAAAGATCATCAACATAAACTAGCACACAGGTGTAAGAATCATCAACTGAATTTGAGAAAAGGGAATGATCAACCTGACTGGGAACAAATCCTTGTTGAACAAGGCAATCTGCCAACTTAGCAAACCACTATCTTGAGGCCTGTTTGAGGTCATAAAGGGACTTTTTGAGCCTGCAAACAGGATTGATGATGTTTGATGGAGGTTTGTAACCCTTAGGGAGCTTCATATAGACCTCTTTTGTTAGGTCTCCATGTAGAAAGGCATTGTTCACATCTAGTTGGTGAACATGCCATGATTTAGAAGCAGCAATAGCCAGAAAAAGCCTAACTGTTGTCATTTTGACAACAGGGGCAAAAGTATCTTGGTAGTCTATCCCTTCTTGTTGGTTGTAGCCCTTTGCAACCAACCTGGCCTTCTCTCTTTCAAGGGAACCATCTGATAGGAACTTATACTTGAATATCCACTTGTTGCCAAGAGGTTTTCTCTGTGGGGGAAGAGGCACCACATCCCATGTTTGATTTCTTTCAAGGGCATCAATCTCATGATTGATGGATTTTTCCATTCTGGTCTGAGGGCAGCCTCATAAGTTTCTGGTTCTTTGTGAGAAGAAATGTTTAAGATGTATTTCATATGGTAAGTGGAAAGAGAGGTATTGTCCAAAACATTTGAGAGAGGGTAGGTAATACCTGAGATCTGTTGCTGCAGAGAGTGACCAGTAGAAGAAAGCTGCTGAAGCAGGTTGCAATGGTACTGTTGTAATTTGGTAGGTTGTTTTATGGCTCTAAGTTGTTTCCTGATGGCAATGGGAAGGTCAGTGGAAGGGATAGATGGGGAGGAAGGGGATGGGAAGAGGAATAGGTGAGGATGAGGGTGAAGGGTCTGGGATTGGTTGAGAAGGGTTGGGAACAGATGGATCATCAGGGACAGGAGATTGATGGGATAGGGTATGTTGGTGGTGGATTTGATGAACTGGCTGGTGGGGTGGGAGAGGAGGATTGGAAGGGGAATTGAGTCTCATGAAACTGAACATCTATAGA